CATGCTCAGATTTCCTAAAGTATTTATCATTCCTTTATAATGAAAACATTCAAACTCCTAGCTTTTTGAATGAAATAAAGATGATGTATTGTAGTATTGTATAGATGATAATGGAAACATCTATATAAAAACTCCCATAAGCAAACAAAAATTCCAGAGCTTTATTTTTGGGGGTTATTTTTGCCATAATTTTTAGAATGCAGCAAAGGAAAAAATAGCAAATAAATTCATAAGAAGTATGTTGATTTTAGGTTAGTCTTGATGAAGCAGGAGGCAAATGTATTCTTAGAAGCCATGGAGCAGGATATTAGTGTTCTTCTGCCACCCTGAAGTCTTCCACTCAGCATGCTGGACTCTGATCATACGTACCATTTAAATTTCTTTCTTTTAGCTTCCATCATTGTCATTTTCATGTATCTCACTTAATGCTTTTTTGGACAATGTCTAAGTAATTTTGTAAAGACTGTTATTGTGGGTAATAAGGCACATTAGCCAACAACAAAGGTCAAGTCAACCTGAATACTTTGAGATTTAGAAATTGAGCATATTTTTAATTTATGTTGCATTGCTCAAACAAATGATTCATAAACAATCTTAAACTCATCAGAGGATAACTACAAGAAGATTTAGTACATGTAAAATTCTTCTCATAAGAAAGATAAAATAAATGATATATTTTATAAACAAGCTCCTATTTCTAAAGAAAGAATTTTAGGAATCAATGGACAAATAAAAGTAAACTGTACATCTTCTGTATCACAATTGGATAATGATAGGGTTCTTAGGCAAAAAGGCTCATTTATAAAAATATGTGGAGAATAACAGGATTTACTTAGGAGTTAAACTATGTAAATAGCTTAAAATGTAAACCGCAGTTTCGCATTCGATTTATTGGAATGCTACTTTGAGATCAAATTCTTCTTGTTAAATTTTCCCCTAGTCAGGGCCTGTGGTGAGGATTCAACAACAGGTAAGCTGTTATCCAAGAATAGCTACTCACATCAAATCCTTTTTCAGATTTTTTCAACGTGAGATACAGTTGGTCTACTTGCAGTAGTGAGTTACTCTAAGGTCCCCCATTATAACTGTATTGCTGTTTCTGCTTTTTTGTCTATTAGTCTTCATTTTATAAAGTTGGGTGCACCGTGGTTTAGTGCATATATATTTATAACTGTTATCTCTTTAAGTTGAATAGTTAGTTCTGTGAGCCACTATGTAATGCTGTTCTTTGCCTCATTTGACCAGCTTTGGCCTGAAGTACACTCTCTGAAAGTCCTGCTTGTTTTCAGGTTCCTGTTGTATGGGATATTGTTTTCCATCTTTTGATTTTTAGTCTATGAATTTCTTTTTTGTGTTAGCATATTGGTAGACTATGTTTCTTGTTGCATTCTGTTGATCTGTGTAGTTTGATGAATTTTTCTCTATAATCTTGATATCAGGGGAAACCTTTAAATATTACAGTCCATGTTATTAATTTTTAAATGTATGCGCCATGGTTTTGAGGTATCTAAGAAGTCTGCCTAATCAAAGTTAAAAAACAACTTTTCTTCTTTTGTCTCTTCTAAATGCTTTACTGCATTAGTTTTTATATTTAAGTTGGAGGTCAATTTTGAGTTAATTTTTGTGTATGGTCTGAAGTAATAGCCTAAGTTCATCATTACTCAGGTTTATTAGTATCATTTGTTTACAAAAGTAATACTTTCTCATTGAATTTCTGTGATACCTTTTAAAAAATCATTGTGCCAAGAACACAATTGTTAATTTCTGGACTCTAAGTTGTGTTTCTTTGTTTCCTTTATCAATCTACATGTGATTATCAGACTATATTAAATATTATGACATTGTAAAAAGCTTTGAAACCACTAATTATAATCATCCAGCTCTGTTCTGATTTACAAAACTGTTTGGCATTTGAAAGGTTTGCATTTACATGTATACTCCTAGGAATAATTTTTAATTTTCTGCAAAAAGAAGAAATCATGTTTGGATTTGATAGTGATTTCATGGATATATAAATTGGCTCTTCATACAGACTCTCTTCAACAGGATTTCAGTGTAGCTGCTCTTCTTTGCTTGCGCAGGTCTCTGGTGAATTTCAAATATAATTTCAACCACTTATTTTCTTATGCAAGTCATTGCAGGAAGATATCTTTCTTTTACTTCATATGTTATGCATAAGAGGAAATCCTTGCATGAAATTACTTTAATTCTTCCCAGTTCTGGAGATCACTGCTGAATTACATGTCCACACCTTCACAGGTAAATTTTAAGTCTAGATTACACAGGATCAAGTGAATACTGAACAGTCTCTGGCTCCTACCCTAAATCAGATAGAGCAAACTGGAAGTACTTCATTCAATTAGCATATGAACGCTACCTGAATTGAAGCCAAATTGGTTATTACTTCTCTGTGTTTTACAGGTGATTGTCCTGAAGCTGAGAGAAATTTTAAAGCAGAGTCTAAGATCAAGCTTGTATAAGCAGAGAATCTAATTTTTTATGGCAATGTGACATCAGCCTCCTCTCATAAAAACAGTTAACTATAAACACTTAGAAGGAACAAAATCTGTAACTTGGGGCTAATTTAACATCTATGAATCTTAAAAATGTAAATCATCAAAGTGAACCAACTAGAGAAAGATAAAACTGAACACTTACATATGGAGAAGTCTTGGTTCTACAATGAAGAACATATATTAAATAAGAAGTACTAAGAAAATTGCTGATTATTTCAAATAAATAATTAATATTTAAATATTAACTGAACATAAGAGATTAGCTTTATCAAAGGCCTAGACATGAGAGATATGTTTGTAAATATTAAAGCGCTAAAAAGTCTGAAGGAGAAAGCATTATTTAAACATATACAGCCCCCTGAAACACATTTTTCACTTTGAAGGTTACAGGACAATAATTTCTTCAGTCCATAAGAGATATGTGCCTGCATGCTTGTGTGTGTACTTGTGCACATATATATGTACTGTGGTAGATTAACAACTGGTGGTCAACTTGTAACACCCACCTGAACTGAACCAACATGGTGCTGGGTGTGGGAGGTCTACCTGTGGATTATTGCCAGCAGCTTAAGCGGCAGAAATGGAGAGGAAGAAGTTTCGAAGCTGTTGGGTGCTGTTAGAGGCTGTAAGGAGCTGTTGGTTTTCCTGGAGGAGCTTGTTATGCTGGCTTTCTGGATGAACTTGGCTGTTCTCAAGGAGCTTGGGACCTTACTGTCATTGAGAATAGCTATGGTTCACTTTGGGGGAGCTCTGGTCCTAACTTTGATCATCATCCTTTCCTGGCTCTGGAGGGGAAAGTGGTACACTGCTCAGTTTTCTGGAGAAGCTTGTCACATTGGCTTTCCTGATAGGAACTTGGCTGTCCTCATCAGAGGAGCTCAGGACCTCACTCTTGCTGTAGATGAGTACTGTATGGTACTTTTCAGGGTGTGCTCTGGTTCTTAATTTAAACATCACTTCCTGCCTCCAGTTCAGATCCTTTAGCCCGCTAGCACAGATCCTTCATCCCACTGGTATAGACTTTCTAATTTCCAACACTGATCCTTGGGCCTTCCCAGTGCAGATCCATAAAACATGTCTGCATGAAATATTGTCATGGGCTCTAGGCCTCCAGTTGGATTCGTGGGAAGCATTGTTATGGGCTCTAAGTCTCCAGCTGGACTCATGCAGGATATTACCTTGGGACCCAGGCCCTCAGCTGGTTCTTTGGCCTTTAGTGTGTGGACAGATTTCCTGTACTTTCTTTGTATATGATTCTTTAGGTGACTATTATAAATAATCTTATAAAATATGTGTCCTGTATTGTATTGCTCCCCTTGCAATACCCCAGACTATAACAGGTATGCTTTTCAGATTCTAAAGAATAAAGTAATACATATGAATTAGTTATCAGTTACCAGATTTTAAAGAGAATAGGTGTAATGGTTGATACATTGTGTCAACTTGAGAAGTCTGGAAGTTTAACTATGTTAACTTACTAGTTCTACATCCTAGCACATGGAGGACATACCCTTAGTGCTCTAGGATGTTGTTCATTGTGTCAATTTAAGGAGTTTACAAGTTTGACTAAGTGGTTCAGCAGGGGGCCAGGGTCCTCACTTTTTAAACATCCTCACCCTGTGCAAGAGCAGGGCACAGAAATATTATGAGTGCTACACCCACCTGAGGGTGGGTACCTTGCATACAATATAAGGGAGAAAAAGAGGCTTGTTCTCTCCCTGTTTTGCTCTTGCTGCTTTTGCTGTTTTCTGTTACCATGAACAGTTGCCCATCAGTCAAGCCACTCTGCCTTGGAACCAACTGATTATGGACTGAAATCTCCACAAATTGTGAGCTGAATAAACCTTTCCTTCCTTCATTTTGGGCATTGGGTATTTTTTCTCAGGGACAAGAGAAAAGTAAGTAATACAGTTGGTCTTCTTGGTTTCACAAGAAAGACCTTGCTGCTTTTGATTACAAAATTTTGGAATTTTTTTCTATATAAATTTAGCATTAAAAATGAATCGGTAGTGTTGATGATTCTAAATCAAACAAAGCTTCATCAAATGATTTAGATATTCACTGTATGGTTGCTGTTTTAAAATCTAAAATTTTACTTTTAAGAAACTAAAGTAGACTTACACAAATTATAGAGAGGTAAAACAAGGAAAAACTTCTTAATACTGAAATAGAATATCTCTTTATTTGCATTCTTGCAAATTAGAATGCAACTTTCCCTCTAAGATTAGCTATGAAATATGCTGATCTGTGGCAAGGTGTATGAATAAGAGCTAATTTTGGCTCTCTGGGAAAAAACTGTTTTCTATAAAGGCAGGATTGAATTAATCCACAAGCATACCCTGTTGCTTTCCTATTTGACAGTGGTCACAGGATTTAAAAGAAACAACTGAACTGTCCATCCAGAAGTCAACAGCACTTAAAAGTCAAAGTCAGTTATTAGAGAAATCAAGACCAGTAATAGGCCTGTATTTTCTGATTTTTCAGATATGATAAATTTAGTATGGAGCATTTTGGTCTTAGTCACGGCAGAATTTGTTGTTGGAAATTTTGCCAATATTTTCATAGTACTGGTGAACTACATTGACTGGGTCAGAAAAGGAAAGTTCTCCTTTGCTGATCAAATTCTCACCGCTCTGGCTGTCTCCAGGATTGGCTTGCTTTGGGTAATAATAATAAATTTGTTTGTAACTGTGCTTAATCCAGTTTTGCAAAGTGGTAAAGAAAATTTTTTTCTAACTGCCTGGTTAATAACCAACCATTTTAGTACCTGGCTTGCTGCTGGCCTGAGCATATTTTATTTGCTCAGAATAGCAAATTTCTCCAACCTTGTTTTTCTTCGCTTGAAGAGAAGAGTGAAGAGTGTCATTTTAGGGGTACTGCTGGGGACTTTGATGCTATTGCTTCTTCAGATTGCACTGATAGCTGGACATGAGAAAATGAGGGTGAAAGAATGTGAAGAAAATGTCACTTGGAAGACTGAACCAAGGGACACTGTATATACCATTTCAAATGTAGCTGTACTTCATCTAGTGATACTTGTACCATTTTTTACATCCTTGATCTGTTTTCTGTTGTTAATCTACTCCCTTTGCAAACATCTCAGGAAGATGCAGGCCTATAGCAAAGGATCCCAAGACCCCAGCACCAAGGCACATGTGACGGCTCTGCAAACAGTGATCTCCTTTCTCTTGTTATTTGCTATATACTCTTTGTTTGTAATTATGTCCGTTTGGCTTTCTATGGGTTTGAAGAAGGGAGCCTTTTTTTTTTCCCAGGTTATTGGGACCTTGTATCCTTCATGCCATGCGTATGTCCTGATTTGGGGGAACAGGAAGCTGAAACAGGCATTTCTGTCAGTTCTTGGGCAGGTAAAGTGCTGGCTGAGAGAACAAAAACATTAAAAACCATCGCAAAAGCAGGGACATGGTGTGACTTCCGACCAAAACTGAAGTAATGGAGTCTGTGACATTTTGTACTTCACACTGATTACTTCTTCCATCGTATATCTGAGTAATATCTAGAAATATTCCTAGGAAATCTTTTGGCTAAGCTTATTAAAGTACATATGTGTTTGTGTGTTAGTGTGCCTGTGTAGAAAACATAAGAAAAACTGTCAAAATATGCTATAATCATTTTTTCTGCAAACTACCTAATTCTAAAAAAAGTTATATACTTGAGGTGTAATTTATTTCTCAGAAATTCTTACTTCATGTTTAATTAAAAATAAATGGAAATTTTAGTATAGCATATGCACATAAACATAAATTTAGTACTTCCATAAGTAGTACAGAATAGTATTAGATTTAATATAAGTATGTGAAAGGCTTAGATGATGATTATATCTATAAACGGGATGAAGAAGAGAGATCCGTGTTCATGACTTGATTTTAACGCTGTTTCTATATGCAATCATGAAGCTCATCTTGCAGTCATTTTGCAGCTTTTTTCTTCTCTTTTCTTTTTTTTTTTTTTAAACAATGCCTTAGTGCACAGTTTAGGCTGGCCTCGAACTCATGATCCTCTTGCCTCTTCCTCACATTGCAGGATCACAGGCATGCACCACCATCTCTGGCTCATTTCTTATTTTTAAAGTAAGGACAATATTTTTGAAATTGATATCCGAACTTAAGTATTTTACTTTTTTCCCCTAAGCCACGTTTGGGCTTCTGAATCAACCATCATTTTCTTCATTTTCCACTCTTAAAATTTGTTTAAAATTTAACACATGAAGTTTCTAACTTTTCTAATTCTAAAAATATGCTCACTGTAAAAGTAGTATAGAAATGGTTATGCATAATTTCATGAAATTTCTTCAACCATTAAAGTGTTAAACCCAAAGTGTGCTTTCTAATTACAGGGAATTGTTAAAGTTTAGTATAATCTGGTGTAAAATGTGGAAATGAAAGAAAGTGTATTGACACAATTGTTAATGACAGGAGGAAAGAAATGTATAACCTTGTACAATAACTGAATTCTACATGACTAAATTAGCACTTAGAATTATGGAATGTTAGCATTATTACCTAAGACAACATATATCTTCTTGCTAACTAATTTATTTATTTGTGTGTTTATTACAAGTCTTTTCCCTGGTATATTATGAGCAGGGAAAGCTGAAGCTGAGATACCACGCATCTTATTTACTCTTTATTCCTAGCTTCTAAATATTGGCGATAGATAGTTGTTAAAATGATATTTTATTGAATAAATAAATGGACAAATGAATGAACTATGTGAAGACTGATAAAGCAACAAAAATAAAACCTTTCTCAAAATCTTCAGATTTCATGGGTCTGGTGTCATGTTGAGGCTTAGGCTTATCCATACAGGATCATTTCTCAGAGAAAATGATTGGCTATTCCACAATTCTAGTGAGAATATCACTAGAATTCCACAATTCTAAGTAAAATATCTCTAGTATATAGCCTTGATGCAACTGTGTTACAACATGAGGTAAAAACACCAAAATTAGATGGCACTTGTGACAATGGAGTAGTTTTAAAAATATATGAATTTTTTATGTTTGTATATAGTTTTTGTATTGTGAGTGATATTATTATATTTTCTAGTTGCCTCTTTAATACAAAAGTGGTATTTAAACATCTAACTAGGACCAAGTGTTCTTTATTCTTTATTTTATTTTTTGTTTCAGTGAAGAGAAATAAACTTAGGGCTTTGCATATGTGAACTGCACACACTCCTATTGAGCTGACACCTAGCCAGCCTAATAATTCCTGTCTAAAATGTTACTTTGGTAATTTTTAGTGAACTTCTAAATACACTTTTAATTAGTATATTGTAAACTAAAATAAAAACAAAGAAACAGAAATTGTAAAACCCAATGAATATCTTATCCCAGGGCTTTTGAAACCAGATACAATGTCAGGGATTAAAGTAGCAATATTTGTTTAGGAAGTGAGTTTCAGGGTAGATAGATATCAGGTAAAGATATGGAAATTGAGCCAAGAGATGATGTGAAACAATGTGATGTGATGCGTGGTTTTGCTCGCAAACACAATGAGCTGAGCAGGATGATCAGCACATGTGTGCACTTGTCCCCTATTAACTTTACAGGAGGGCCCAGAAGCAATCTAGATCTAGTGTCAGTCCATGGAAGAGGCAAGTGAGTGGCAATTGATCTCAGCTCCTTTCTGTCTTTTCTTTTCTATTGGTCTGGGTTTACACAAAACACAACCTACATCTGAGAATGCACACATTTTTGTGACTAGCACAATCCACCCAGTATGCCACTTGAATGCATTCATAGGTTTGAAAATGTATGATTTGAGTAGTTGTGGGGGCCTTGTGCTTAGAAGGACTTTGTACTTGTTTTAATGCTTTGCTCTTGATGTTTTGTTTCTCAGAGATAAGATACTCCACTGTTGAAGAGGGAAAATTCTTGCACTGATTCATTTGGGTTTTGGTCACTCCTTTTTTTTGGGGACGTGGTGGGTTTCTGGTACCAGGAACAGAACTCACGACCTTGCACTTGCCAGGCAGGCGCTATGCCGCTGAGCTAAATCCCCAGCCCCATGGTCACTCCTTTTAATATGAATCAGATCTGAGAAATGTACAATGTCCCTAAACACTAAAAAGACCTCCAGCAGGTTTGAATCTGTTGAGTCATCTTAGGATGGTCAGAACAGCTTGAAGAACAGCATGCACCAACTATAGAGCCTCACTCTCATTCTGGGTCCACTTGAAACGAGGAGCCTTTAACGAAATTTCAGAAATCAATCAGTGTGATATCTAAGAATGTGATACATATTGGCTCCAAAATAGAAAGAGTCTCAACATACATTGTGGCACTACTTTAGTAATAGAAAATATAAGGTAGGATAGCATACTTGTACTTTAAAGGTGTGTTTGCATATGTAGGTAAGAATAGTAGACTCCTAAAACATTATTGATGGAGAAGGCCCTGGGATTTTCTCAGTTCAAGTTTTATGCTTTTCTAATGTTATATTTTATAAGTTTTCAGGAACTTACCATTTCCTACTCATAGGAACCAATTAATATCCTATAGAGTATGACTTTAGTGCTTAGAAAATTCACTGAAACCAAGAGCAGAAGAGATATGTTCTTGACAAAAAGTGATTATACTTCTTATTACACAAAGCTTCAATTGTTTTATTTTTACCTAATGATAGCTATGGTGAAAATTATTTACAAAATCCAAAGTTATAATCAAATTATATTGAGTAAGAATACTGCCTCTTGGAGATCAGCTTCTGGGGCAATGCAAGTCTATGGTAATGTACATGCATTCTGTATTCTATTTTGTTATGATAGCATCCAGACACATAAACTTAGTACTGATATGAGAAGAAAGACTATTCCTTGCCATTTGTGTAGTTGTACAATAAATTTCATACCTTGGAGAATGGAGCTTTTACATGTACTCATTGTCTGATAGGAAGGGATAATTTCAGAGGCTTTCCCTTGGTTCTACTTGTGATAATGTCCAACATATCAGGCAGCAATGAGAATTTTGCTGGTTGCCAATCTGTGCATTTCACTTCTACATTCAGGAATAGTTAAGTAATAATAAGCTCATTAGCTTTAACTGGGGAGCATTTGGAATTCAGAAACACCTAATCCATACAGTGGATCATCAGATCTCCTTGGGTCCCCAATATTAGAGTCACTTCAGAGCCTGTTTCTTAAAGTCTTAGGGGATGTAAATATGTACATTCTTGTTTGGGCACTCTCATCTGAAAAACAAGGCTTTGGGAGATAGCAAATGAACACACCATGAATATTCCTGAAAGTCCTTTTGGGTTCTTTATTAGGAGGCTTAGATTTTCCTCAGTCACTGGATTATCATTCGTTTTAAAATTCTCATTCTTTGTATTAACTAATTTTGATAATTGGCATTTGGTATAATCAGTTTGTGAAACTTGTCATGAAGGAAAAAATTGATGTGGAACAAACTAATGTCTTCTTAATACAACTAAGGGTAAACTTGATACCGAAATACACAAAGATGTTCCACTCTCAGATTTGACTTATTCAAGTGTGGAATTAAAGTGTTTCCAGTCACAGTAAAAGGTATAGCCAAGGACTTAAGGAGAGCTCCTCATGGGTTAGTATAGCCCTTGCTGATAATCTCAGATCTGTCTCTTCTGTAAAAGCCCATAAACTTCCAGTACGAGCTCCTAATCCACATAACCCCATGTTTGTGTTTTTCTTTGTCTTTCCAGATATCTTTGCATCTTTGTTGCATCATTGTTAGTTGAAAGGAGACAAGCCCAAGGGTTTATTACCTCTGCATTAATGATATGCTTTTCTTTAATTCTTAGTATTCTTTCCTTGTAATTTACCTGTTCTGATTTATTTTGCCTCATCGATGTTTCTTTTATAAATGTTGGGTATTTGTGAGAATTTTCAAGATATATTGGATTAGTTTACTGCTCAGAACTGCTTCATGGGTGTGTGTGTGTAGGGTCAGTCCTTTAGCATGAATATTTTATGTTCTTCTCTACCATGTCTGTGTTAATCTGATGTTGCTGAATTTGTTTGTTTGGTGTGCTGATTACTCTTTAGTTATTAATGAATGATTGTGTATCAGGGGCCTGGCCTAGGACCACCAATCTCCTGCTCAGGAGTGCTACAATAGAATAAAACACAAACAAAATATATTTTAGTTACAAGGAGTACCAGGATAGTCAAAGTCCAATGATGGGCTAAACCCCAAGGCACAGTGTCCTTCATGTTTATTAGGTGCACAGCTTGACTGCAGGGGTGTACTGGTAAGCTGCAGGATGTGGTAGGGGTGAACCACTGACAAGATGAAGGTTCAAGAACTGAGAAACAATGCATTTTTGGAAAAGCACACAGAAACAGATCAGGGCTAACTGGTGACCTGATTTTCTGCTGACTGTGACTACTGAGCTGGAAG